GGGGTAAGGGCGGTCAGAAGGTGTCTTTCGTGTGCGGAGCTCCTCAGTGTGCAGCCCCCCCCCGGGGAAGCGGGTGACATGCTCGGCGTGGCAAGTGCTGCCCTTCTCTCCTCTCCGGGTGTAAAGGAGCCGAGGTCGGCCGAGCTGCCGCGCCTGTGGAAACATCCCGGCTCTGCACAAAGTCGTCAAGGAGCGCACTTGAGGGGGCCTTTCTTCTAAATGTCTTCAAGGCTTGTTTCCTTTAAACGTAATTGGGCTTATGCTTCTGCAAGGAGGGGTTGATTTATGCAGCAAGTGTGACGCTTTGCTCAATTAGAAACTGTGGGTGGATTTTCACGGAACTCCAGAGAGGCCTCCAAAGAAGGGGGAGTTACGGATCTATAGCCACCTGTATTGGGACACACTGAATTGGCTGTGTTGAAAGCTGCCTGCTTGGCATTAATCACAAATGGCTGAGCCTCCGGACTGCAGCACAACATTTGCATTGCTTAGGCAGTTATGTATTTGTAAGTTCTACAATTGTGAAAGAACGAGACAAAATGAGCTAGCCAGGCACAAAAATACAAGAGTATATTTAAACTTACATAGGTAATACATAGAAAGAGCAAATTAACTTCTTCAGAAGTGCTGGTATGAAACATTTTGAATTACCAGTGAAGGGAGAAGAAGAAAAGTCAAGAACTGTCATTGTTCTACCTTGTTTTCCTGTTTATGGTAATTGCCAATGTGCAACTTTGAAGTGCCAGAAATGCATAAAATAAACTGAACTGTTGGAACTCACAGCATGAAATGAGAGAACAGGGGATGGGAATAGAGGCAAACACTCCCTCATCTCTCTTGATTGCTGCTGTTGTGACTCAGGCAGGGAGCGTGCAAGTGCACAGTGAGAGGTGAAAATGGTGATTGATTTAGTGTCTTTTGAGGGAAAGCAGCATCAAAATATCATGTCATGATGGTATTTCTGAGCTCATTGGTTTCCATCTGGTCTGGGTGTGGCCTCTCTGACCTGTAGTCCCAATGCTGATTGCATCAAGGCAACCTTGCAGCTAGGTGAACATCCTTTGTTTTAGGGAAAAGGATGCTAACATACCCAAGAGCTCAGGCTTCAAAAGGACAGCAGAGCTGACTGCAAAATGGAACTCGTGACTGCATTTTTGAACAGACCTTCCTCTCTTGCTGGTTGGGAAGCCCAACTGGGTGTGCTTGCAGTGGAAATGCTGACGTACCTGAGCATCTGTCACTGGATTCCAAGCGTGCCATTTCCTCTGCTCCCCGAACAATGAGGAAAGTGAGAGGAAATCCGAACAAACTCTCTGCGTGACAGAGAAAGGAGAGGAAACCTGAAACAATTCACTGGGCAGCAGTAGAAATGAAACTGCTGCATCCCACCGTGCTCAGGAGCAATGATTTTGAAATAAATTAAACAAACAAACAAACAAAAAAACAACAAGAAACACCCAATGTAGATGCTAGTTATCGCCACATGTCTCAAAAATTACAGCAGTCTGAGCCATGACCTTGCTATATGTCATTAGTGCTAAAGGTTAAGCCCGGCCAGCACTTAGGTATGAACCCCTGTAAGGGTCACTGGGATGCCTCAGGAAATGGAGCCAGGGATGTGATGGGAAGTCACTGCTTGTGATTCTTTGTTGAACTCATTGCCCATATAATATGATAGGTGCTGTTTTGGTGGGGAGCAAGGTGGAGCAATTCAATTCTGGTGAAATTCCAGTTTGGGTAATTGCCTTTTGTTAGCAGATACATTTGAATAAAAGTTCCCTTCTGTCCTAAACTGCTGTTAGAAGCACTCATGTGTGATAAAATAAGTACCGCTTCTAAATGATGATTCTCTTTTTGTGCTTTTCAGCACAGGACACTGCAGATTATACTGGCTTTAGAAATTTTCACTTCAGGGCTTTTAGGCTTCACTTTTGACCAAATATGTTTCTAGCCCTACTGCATGTTGCAAGCTCAGTCTTCCTTAGGGGGGATAGGGTGAGAGCTTCCACAGCAGGTGAATTTTAGTGCAGGTATAATGCCAACTGTTTCATAAGGGATGCATGATAAGACAAGATGGTCAGTGTGTATAGTAGATCACAGTTAATAGTAAATGGTCTTGTCTACCCACTGGTATGCCCAGAGGTAGGCTGCTGGGGTATCCTGACTCTCTGACTGTACTTGGGTTCCTTTGTCATAGGTACTTTTTATTATGCTTTCAAAACATACTATGAGACTTTATGTTAAAATGATGTTTGCATACCTGCTTCACCATTGAATCATTCCTCCATGCAGCAGTTTCAATAAAAGGAGAGTAAAAATGGCATCAGGAGGCCACACTTCATAACTGCTAGCCCAGGCTAAACACCAAATCACACATGTAGCCTTCTCAACCCGCTGCCTAGCTACCAAAGGAAGGATTCCACGAACACATCTGCTACTTTTAAGGGTAAATAACATAACTACTAGCAAAAAAGCTGCTTATCAAAGACACTTCCCCCAAATGTTTCTTGTGACTCCAAGGGAGTCACAATATTGTGACTAAGCCAATATTAATACTGGAGTAGGTGCACCCCTGTCCCAGCCCAGGCCACTTGCTTCTGATGCTTTCTTGGTACCAGCTCTGGTGCTCACCTGACCTGGCAGTGAGTAGGAAGAAGTAGGAAATTAATCTTGCCCCCAAAATGGTAGATTTCTGCCAGCACATCTCCAAAAGCTGGCTCCCCAGGGTATCACATGAGATCCAGTGCTGACTGCATGGGAGGAGACAGGACGGCATGCCTGGAGCTGGGCGAGGAGGATCTGACGACCTCCTGCCCTGCCTGCTAGCTGCTAGATCAAGTGTAGCTGAGGTGTGAGGGTACAGACTTAGATTCAGAGGACCAGCCAGCTTAGAAGTTGTCCAAGAGCACTGGATGGGTTTTGGAACAACGAAAGTCACATGGCTCCTCTGTCTTGTGTCGGATTACAGACCGTCCAGCCTGCAGGCCTCACACTCTGCCTGAGCCTCCCTTTGTGTTCCTAGCAAACACACCTGGAGAGGGAAGTGGCTGAAACCTGGCCAGGAGAGTGTGGTACCTTATGCTCAATCACACTCGCATAGCAGCACGGTGCAACAACCCAAATCCTGACCTCGAGTGAAGGGTTAATCTGGGGAAGAACAGAAGTTGGATATTTTTGACCTGTGTGGCTGAGAATGGAAGCAAAAGTTTGTGATTTGTCCCAGCTGCAGAAACAGTGGCTGTGATTGCAGTGCAGGACTGTGCTGAGCAGAGCAAATCAGCCCTTGTGAAGCTCTAAGTTACCAAATTCAGATTCTTCTACCGGTGAGCTTAGTCTATTCAGAGCTGTTGTTTTTGCTGTGTGTTCCCTGTGTGTGGACATGTGGACAAAACAGCATTACTAGAAAACTGAGGAGGAGATAGGAGAGCTATATGTTATATAATTTTCTCTGTGATGATAAAACCAGCCATCTCAGACGTGGTTAAGTCATAACTGATCTGGTGTAGAGTTAGTATAATTTTCTCTGTGATGATAAAACCAACCATCTCAGACATGTGGTTAAGTCGTAACTGATCTGGTGTAGAGTTAGCTGGTGATATGCTGGATATATTAAGGAAAATTTAGCCTTGTGTCTGCCTTTGCATAGCGTGCAGTTCACATGCCAAAAACACACTTACCTGCTCACACATATGCACCTCAGTGTTTGCATGTCGGAGATCAGCATCCACAGTGTACGTGGTCAAATTTGCACACTGGGGTATGCATCACACAGACATAAACACACTTATACACAAATGCCAACTGTGTGGCATGGAGCTGACGAACTCACTTTTCATTCACCCCTTTTGAACACATCCAGCTGCTCCTATCGATTCCCTGGCTCCAGTGCCTGGAGCATGAAATCGAGCAGGGTGAGCCAGGGGGCAGGAGTGTGATCACATGCAGGTGTGCAGAGAGACACTGACACAAAAGTGCTTCATATTAATTTAATTGAACCAGCAGTGTACTTCATTTCTGGCAAACAGGCATAGGCATTACAGACATCTGAGTCACACTCTGAGAGATCAGATCTTTTTTTTCTGCTTATGTGTAAAAACAAATGTTGATATCATGAGAAGAAGAGACAAAAAGGACAAGGATTCAAGTTTTGTGAAATGTACTGTTGCCCTTCCTAAGATTTTGCTCAGCATTACAGAATTACAGAGTGAGTTTTTGGATCATTTTGATTCATGCATCTGCAGGGAAGTTCACCTTATCCACTGGGGCCTACTTGTGGAGGTGGAATTATCCCTGCATTAGCTCGTCTAGTTGTCTCAAGCTAGTTTCCGGGGTCTCTTCATTGTACCTGTTCAAGGGACTGACATCATCCCCATCATCACAGTACTTGAGCACTTTGCAATATTTGTCCCAGAAACATCCTTGTGAGGTAGGGAAGTGCTACTATCCCCATTTTTAGACAGACAACTGAGGCACTGAGAGGTCAAAATCACAAAGGACATATTTAGCAGAGCAGTCACTTGAAACAGGGTCTCAGTCCTTTGTAAGTGCTCTGCCACTGAATCATCCTGCTCCTCTGCACCCCTCTGGAGTATTAGTACCAGTATATACATCGCTAATGTTAAGCTTACCCTGGCAAGCATTGCTAGGAGTATGGGTAGCTCTCCGTAAGTGCTGCCTCCACCCTCGTGGACAAACCACTGTGGGTCTCACAGGCTTCTTGACTGCATGGAGAGTGGCACCTTCACCTCTAAGATGTGCTCCCATCACAGCTGGGTTCCAGCTCAGACCAGTAACGCCAACCTACACTTCCCTTCCTGCTGCAAGAGATATAACTGCTTTCTTCCACCAGTGCCCTGAGGCAAGCTCTGGTCCCGGGGTCACTGACCTGTCCTTCTCCCTCTTTTGGTTCCTAAGATCTGTCACTGGTTGATCGTGTTTTACCAATTTTATAACTACCAGCATTCAGGCCATGCTTTCCTTTTCCTGCAGGGACTTGCCTTCCCTCACAACCAAAGAACGGGGAACTTGCTCTCACATGCCACCGACTTGCTTTGCCTCCAAGAACAGCTGCTTTCCTTTGGAGCAGAGGCCTCCTTTTTAAAAGAGAAAAAAAAATGTACATCTTTCAATACAATATCAAAACCTTAAAATAATCCTATGTAAATAAATAGAACACAAACATCACAGTTCTCAGCCTGGAGAGTTTTCTTCAAAAGGGATAACAATTTCTGGCCCTGCTATTTCACCCTGGGATGATGAGCCACCCATACAGTCTGACATATCTGGAGCTGCTTCCTTCAACAGCCTTTCCAGATGTACCTTGGTAATGGGACTTTACTGGAAATTGGCAGCTGCTGTTTTTTTGAGGGTACCCCAGCCTTTTTACCAGCCATAGATTCATAAGCCCTGATAGGATTCATAAGACCAGGACTGCAGGGATTCCATCAGCCCCCCGACCCCCTTCTTTTTGCTGCCTTGGGGAAGCAGAGCCAGGGAGATGGCTGGGGAAACATGGGTCTGAGGAACAGCCACCTACCCCTGCCTTCAGGCTCTGGGATCTGCTGCTGTGTACACAATAGTCCACATGTCCATCATAACCTCCAACATGAATCAGGTGGCTACTGTCAGTTGGCGGTATGTGTGTCTGGAAGCTTTAGCTTCCTATCAGGAAGGAGTTTGTGTTCAGATATAGATATGGCATATAAGAGATGTGCACACCTGTGTGGATTACCACCACCAATATTCTGACAGTAACATGTAGCAGTGCTAATGGTAACAATTAATAATGTAATGTCTCAGAGACCAGTTTTAAGTGTGGGTCAAACACTGTTTCAGCTGGATGGTCTCGGGATCTCCGCACGCAAGTTGAGTCTCCTTGTGCATGGGGAAGCCTCTGTCCTGGACTCCAGAAGTTCACAGACTTCATCCATTGCCCTGGTGCAGGTCTCAAGGTTGGCAGCCATCTTCTGGATTTTGGCCTTCAGCACAGCCTGGCTCACTTTTGTGACCTCCTTTGTGTATTCTGGCACGAGAAAGCTGTGGGAGCCACAGAAGACCATGAAGCAGATGGAGTTGTACAGCGAGATGGAAGCCCTCTTCTCTGACTGGCGCAGTGTGGGGTCCCCTGGGCCCTGCCCCCGGCGAAGGAACTCCAGGCAGCCGAGGATTTCCCTCATCTGTTTCCGACAAGTCATTGCGATTTCCTGCACCTTCTTCACCTCCCGGGAATTGCAGACCACTAAGGAAAGATCGGAGGTGATGCTGACAGCCCCCCCAGCAGTGGCCAGGCCCAGACCCACAGCCGATGCCAAGAGAGAGGCTCCCAGTGTCGCTGGGCTCAGGGACAGCCCCACGATGGCTGTGACTGCTCCTGCGGCAGTCAGGGTGCTTCCACTGACATTGGCAATCAGGGACCTTTTGCGGAGCTTGTTGAGTTTCCGAGCCGCCTTGTGAAGGTGAGCAATTTGGCCACGCAGCCTCCGTCTCTGATCCAGCAGCACTACGTGGAAGTGGTGTGTGGGGTCTAGTGTTTGGGGAAAAGCAGCACCGTTTCTCTCCATGGTCTCTGTCCAGAAACAGAAAAGTCTGGGTTGGGATTTATGTTAAAAAAAACCCATGAGACATGCTCAGCTTGGACCACCACTTCAGACATGGCATCCAGCCAATATTTTTTTTGCTTTACCCAGCTACATGAAAGGTTTGCTCTCTGCACACACGTACACACTAACGTACGCGCACACACACACGCACGTACACAGAGGAACTTTTTCAGACAGAGGAACTTTTAAAAGTTTTTCTTATTCCCTGAGAAGACTGAAATATCTTAAGGGCTGGGGTCAGAGATGCTGTTGTTATTACCTCTGTGAAGACACAAAATGTCCCTTTCAACCCTGGGGACAGAAATTCCCTTGAGATTGACTCAGTGCCCAGAGTAGTAATGCTGCCAGAACTAATATGTTTTTCCCACAATGGGATTCAGAGGATCTGTAATATTCAAGGGCATCTTTCACAAGAAAAGCCAGATTCTGAGGAGGTGAAAGCCACTCATCCCAGCTTGCTATTTAGGGGTCACTTCCCATTAAAGGAGGATAGAGGGAAGCTGCTGAGGGGAGTCAAGGTCTGGCTTTTCCATCTAGGAGGTCAGAAGCTCATTGACTCCTCAGACGGGTATTGTGAACATCCTTCCTTTCTTTAAGCCTAAGCAACTCAAGGTCCCACAACATTTTTTTCCTATTGTAACCTGGCGTCAGGGTCTGTGTAAAGATGGGAACCGTTGTTCTGTGGTGCTCATTCCAAGCTGTATTGGTGTACCATCAGTGACAGTGGCAGGGAGGCCTATGGGCCTTGTTTAAAAGGTTCATGAAGGGTACCTTAGAAAAGCGAGCCCAGTTTCTGTGCACAGTCCCTTGGGGATGGAGCTACAGGGAAAATACGGGAACCTGTGAATAGAAATGGCTTAAAAACTATTGGCTATGGCAACCTTCCCTAGCAAGATAGCAGGAGAATGTCTTTCCTTCTAGAGGGTGAATCTTCAGGGTTTCGGTGCTAGGCGATCTGTTTGCTTTCTCTGTTCTTTGTCACAAGGGTAGAAAGAGATGTTCCAGTAAGCATTTGCAGGTTGCTCTAGGGCTGCAAAGTGCTTTACAGAGGAAGCCAGCATCCTTAACCCCACTTACATACAGGGCAACCGAACCAAGGGAGGCAACAGGAGTGATGTACCATTGCCAGTTGTCTGGTGGGAGCAGAGCTTTTGTGCTCCACAGCACTGCACTCTGCACAAGGCTATGGTGCCTCTGCACCTAGCGAGGTTTAGCCATAAAGCTAAGAAGCTCTTTGCAGTACATAATGTCCTCATAGCCAAAATAAGGATCTCTAGCAGAAAGATCCTGTCCCAGGGCCAACTAAGAAAAACTATTCATTGCTGCAGCCACCTTTTCACTTCTAAGTCCTCTGTACCGTTTGAACTGGAGGTACGTGGTCCCTCACATGAGCAGACTACGTAGTTAGGAACCTTGGGGCTTTCATTCTGCAGAATCCCTGTGTTTCAGAAGGAGGAAACCACCTACCATAGAGAGGCTTTCTGTCTGAAGTATGTGAGTAAATAATTCTCACTCCATTTTTTTTCCCCCTTCTACTTGTCTTAATCCATCTCATGCAGAATCCTTTAGGACCTCCCCGTATGCCCTTCAAAACAACAGCCTCAGACTCTCTTGGTATCATCAGGCCATTTGACCCAGTTAGTATGTTGTGCTTTTCTTAACTGGAGGCAGTGTCCTCTTCTTTTTTACAATATAGTCGGAGATGAAGCTGAAAGCACTAGGACTAACACTAAGCTAAATGGATACCAGCATTGAAATGAACAATGAGCATGTCATCAATAACTTAACAACAGATCAATATGATGATTATTAAATATATCGACTCCTGTAGCCTCTTAACAATTTGTTCCACAGATTATCTTGATGAGAACAGTCTCAGGTAATAACAGCGGCCATCTCACTGCAGTTAGTAGAACAGTCATTCAATATATAGTGTAAGTCATGCAGTGATGCATGTCTTTTGAATAAACTGATTTATGCCAGCATAAAGGGAAGCAAAACCAACTCCTGCTCTAAGAGAAAAATCTTCCAGCAATAAAGGTATACATTAGTCCAAAACCTGCAAAAGCTTTCCTAATACAGTACACAGA